CCCCTCGTATTTATGCAGCCCAGCCGTGTGTGCTCATGCGTGGGGGATGGGTGGGGGTACAAACGCTTCGGCGCACATGCTGTTTACATGTTTCAACATCTTTTATGTGCACATACAGGGATGAATCGATAGTCCGGATTAGTTTGACTTTTGCTTATGCTATTAAAATCTTGTCTGTTTCGGAGGGAGCCATCGACGCACTTGGTTAGACCTTCCAGCACAAAAACGTTCTGCATAGCAAAAACCCATTTGTCATAATTTTCGCGTCCGATTAACTTCGGTACACTGGAAAGATAGTTGACGGCCATCTTGGTTTACACTCCGTTTTTGACCGATTTACTTCGAACTACGAAAACGCGAGTACAAGTACTTAAAGACAACGACCTAAGTACTTAAAAATGCTTCCACGTTGCGACACAAACGTATTTTCTAAGATCTGGGTACTGGGCCCATGACCTGTTATGATTTCATCAGATCTTAGGACGCAAAAGGAAAAACAAGTTGCCGTCTCAGAATACTTGCATGAACTGCACCTTTATTGAAGTTAAAAGCAATACTACCAACCTAAGAAAACTTAAGTAAAAGGTACCATAACAGTTTTAGAACTTACTTCTAACATCTTCGTCACGGCTTTCTACCATTTTTTTTAATTCCTCATATTTCATGAAAACCTAGCTTTCTTTTCTTTTCTGGGGCTCCCGTTGTAGCTCTTTCCGTTTTGCGTTTTTAGCTTCTCGAGCCAATTAAAATTCGATGCCTTAAAACGGATTAAAACGAACGTCATGTTAATTGTAGTATTTATCCATTGGTAATTTAGCGGTAACATTCCAAATAGTTTCTTATAGTATATTCTTTATAATCCTCACCATTCTGTATCTTCATGTTGAACCCCCAGTCTTGTAGAATTTTTGCAATTTGGTGCACTGTGGTGTCTTTACTTAAGTTGTGACACCTTTCTTCACAAAATGCTAGAAACTGCCACCAGATATATTTTTGATTGCTGATAGTATCTGTGGGCACTGTCGCAGCAACAACTTCTTTTATTGAAGTAGGTGATTTGACACCAAAACAAGACATTTTTTAAGTTGAAATAACAATTATGATTTGAATAACTTTGGAATGTCCGGATGACATTTGATGTCTAATTCAACAGGAAAAGAAACTTGTCAACTAATTTATTTTCGTAAGCAATGATCTGATGATAAGATAATTGCACACTTCAAACGGATAGATTATCATGCGAAGGAAATATTCGGGGGTAATTGCACAAGTGCTTCAAAATTAGCGATAATTTTGCATGAAAGCTTGTTGTCGAAAAACTGCATGAGATTATTTTCATATTGTACATATTTAAAATAAACGAATGAAGTTTTTACAAGACAACAAGCTCGAATGCAAAATTATTGGTTTATTTTGAGGCACGAGTGCAATTTCGATTAATATTTCCTGAGTAAACGTGGTAAAAGTAAATGTGGTTTCATTTTATTATTTTAATAATTATTTGATGT